CGTCGTGACCGAAATAGAGGCGCCCATTGCCGTTCCGCTGACTTGTTTGAAAAGCTCACCCTTGAAGCTGAAGTACGTACTGCCAAGGCAGAACTCGAGAAGGCGGCATAGCTCATCAACACTGAGGCTGGTTCTTGAGCCCAATGTTTCGTCTTTCTCGAGAACCTCTCTGGCTGCAGCAACTGCTAAGGGAACTGGCACGCTGGTAAAGAGCGACACAACGTCGAAAGACACAATCGTGTCATCATCGCTGAGTCTCACTTGCGAGGCACGTTCCACGAAGTGGCCGGTGTTCAGCACATGTGTCGGCGTATTTCCAACAAGGGGAGCTATAGTCCGGTGTAGGTAATTTGACAGCGCTCGGAGCGGTGAGGTCGTAAAGTCCACGATAGGTCTCAAGGGGACGCTAGGTTTGTGGGTCTTGGGTAGTCCGTAGAAGCTTGGCGCAGAGCCATTCCTGCAGATGAGATGCAAGTAAAGGGCTTTCGACTCTGGATATTGCTTGAAAATGTCAGACAACATCTTGTTCATGTTCCGCTGAATTTGGGACGTTGGATCTTTCTTAAGCTTTTCATAGGCCGGACTTTCCAGAAGATCCCGTGCCTTCTGTTCGTACTCCTCCCGGTCCAGGACGACGGTAGATTTCCCTTTATCTGCCGGCAGTAGCACAATCTCTGTATCTTCGCGGAGCTTCCGAAGCGCAGCAGTTTCATCGCGAGATAGATTGTGGCGTTGCCTCGGCGGAGGTTTTGAAAGGATGCCTATCGCCTTAAGTCGTACACCTTCTCGGACGCTAGGGTCTAGACGCGCAATGCCGTCTTCCACAGCGGCAATCATTTTTGGTAGAGGGGGCCGGGTCGTGGTCATGTTGAAGCCGTGACCTTTTGCCAAGACTTTAATCTCGCAGGGGGAGAGTTGTCTTGAAGACAGGTTCGTGACAAAACTGGTGGTGTCAGCGCCTCCCCTTTCCGGGTCTTTTTTCCTTAGCTTAGAAAGCTTCTCTTCTTGAGATGCCTGTCGTTTTTCTCTGGTAGCGGAGGCGATGCTGGAAGCGAACGACTGCAACGACGGAAGCACACCGGGGATGCGATGTTCGAGCTGCCGACGCGTGAAGTACAGGTCCAGTTCTTTTCTCCTTAGGATGGAGTGGCACTCGTGAATCCTGGCGCTTACCAACCGGTGCTCCGCCTGTGCCAAGATCTTGTTTCCCTCCTGGGTGTGTACGAGGCGCTTGAGACGGAGGCTTTTGGGAATCACGTGCAAGTCCTGGCAGGCCCTCGTGAAGTCAATATGCGTCTTGTAGGTAGCGATGCTGCGGGTGATGTTAACAAACCGCTTCGCTAGCTGGGCTGTCTCCGGTCCAAAGTCAATGGATAATGACTTGAAAGTAAACATCTTCGACAGAAATCTGTCTGGTTTGGGGAACAATTCGAAAAAAAGAAAACTCAAACCAAAAGTTTAGAAACAGCAGTTCCCAAAGTTTCGGGGTCGACTTGACTCCTTCTTCAGGGGTGACTAAAAATGGAATTGGACAGCGCGAGCTTCGACCTCTCCTTCTTCTTCTACCGAGGTGATGTTTTCTGAACGTGACGCAGGCCATGGACGTAAACAGATGGTAAGGCCCCGAGGGACCTGTTAATGTTCCCCGGTGTATTCTGGATGTGCCACGACTCCAAGAACAGGCGTCTTCGAATATGTGGCTCCGTGTCTATCACGTGTGCTTTTCCGAAGTCGATCCGATGGTCAAACACCTCACAATGTTCCGCGACGGCGCTACGCTCGCGATCGAAATTGCGCACATCGTTCTGGTGCTGGCGCATGCGTTCGCATGCGCCAGCACCAGAACGATGTGCGCAATTTCGATCGCGAGCGTAGCGCCGTCGCGGAACATTGTGAGGTGTTTGACCATCGGATCGACTTCGGAAAAGCACACGTGATAGACACGGAGCCACATATTCGAAGACGCCTGTTCTTGGAGTCGTGGCACATCCAGAATACACCGGGGAACATTAACAGGTCCCTCGGGGCCTTACCATCTGTTTACGTCCATGGCCTGCGTCACGTTCAGAAAACATCACCTCGGTAGAAGAAGAAGGAGAGGTCGAAGCTCGCGCTGTCCAATTCCATTTTTAGTCACCCCTGAAGAAGGAGTCAAGTCGACCCCGAAACGTTGGGAACTGCTGTTTCTAAACTTTTGGTTTGAGTTTTCTTTTTTTCGAATTGTTCCCCAAACCAGACAGATTTCTGTCGAAGATGTTTACTTTCAAGTCATTATCCATTGACTTTGGACCGGAGACAGCCCAGCTAGCGAAGCGGTTTGTTAACATCACCCGCAGCATCGCTACCTACAAGACGCATATTGACTTCACGAGGGCCTGCCAGGACTTGCACGTGATTCCCAAAAGCCTCCGTCTCAAGCGCCTCGTACACACCCAGGAGGGAAACAAGATCTTGGCACAGGCGGAGCACCGGTTGGTAAGCGCCAGGATTCACGAGTGCCACTCCATCCTAAGGAGAAAAGAACTGGACCTGTACTTCACGCGTCGGCAGCTCGAACATCGCATCCCCGGTGTGCTTCCGTCGTTGCAGTCGTTCGCTTCCAGCATCGCCTCCGCTACCAGAGAAAAACGACAGGCATCTCAAGAAGAGAAGCTTTCTAAGCTAAGGAAAAAAGACCCGGAAAGGGGAGGCGCTGACACCACCAGTTTTGTCACGAACCTGTCTTCAAGACAACTCTCCCCCTGCGAGATTAAAGTCTTGGCAAAAGGTCACGGCTTCAACATGACCACGACCCGGCCCCCTCTACCAAAAATGATTGCCGCTGTGGAAGACGGCATTGCGCGTCTAGACCCTAGCGTCCGAGAAGGTGTACGACTTAAGGCGATAGGCATCCTTTCAAAACCTCCGCCGAGGCAACGCCACAATCTATCTCGCGATGAAACTGCTGCGCTTCGGAAGCTCCGCGAAGATACAGAGATTGTGCTACTGCCGGCAGATAAAGGGAAATCTACCGTCGTCCTGGACCGGGAGGAGTACGAACAGAAGGCACGGGATCTTCTGGAAAGTCCGGCCTATGAAAAGCTTAAGAAAGATCCAACGTCCCAAATTCAGCGGAACATGAACAAGATGTTGTCTGACATTTTCAAGCAATATCCAGAGTCGAAAGCCCTTTACTTGCATCTCATCTGCAGGAATGGCTCTGCGCGAAGCTTCTACGGACTACCCAAGACCCACAAACCTAGCGTCCCCTTGAGACCTATCGTGGACTTTACGACCTCACCGCTCCGAGCGCTGTCAAATTACCTACACCGGACTATAGCTCCCCTTGTTGGAAATACGCCGACACATGTGCTGAACACCGGCCACTTCGTGGAACGTGCCTCGCAAGTGAGACTCAGCGATGATGACACGATTGTGTCTTTCGACGTTGTGTCGCTCTTTACCAGCGTGCCAGTTCCCTTAGCAGTTGCTGCAGCCAGAGAGGTTCTCGAGAAAGACGAAACATTGGGCTCAAGAACCAGCCTCAGTGTTGATGAGCTATGCCGCCTTCTCGAGTTCTGCCTTGGCAGTACGTACTTCAGCTTCAAGGGTGAGCTTTTCAAACAAGTCAGCGGAACGGCAATGGGCGCCTCTATTTCGGTCACGACGGCAAACCTCACAATGGAAGTGGTTGAACAGAAAGCGCTTAGCACTTTCGCCAACAGGCCAAAAGAGTTCATGCGCTATGTAGATGATTGCTTTTGCATCGTGAAGAAATCAGAGGTGAACCACTTCCTCGCACACCTGAATTCCATAGAACCGGCCATCCAGTTCACTGTAGAATACGAGAGAGATGGAGTCTTGCCGTTCCTCGATGCTCTGGTGAAAAGGCAAGGAGACAAGCTGGGGTTCACGGTCTACAGGAAGCCAACACACACCGGACGCTACCTTGATTATGACTCGAACCACCCAACGAGTCACAAGACGTCGGTGGTCTCTACTCTCCTGTCTAGAGCAACGACCATCTGCTCGTCCGAAAGAGACAGAAGAAAGGAGAATCAGACCATACTTGCTGACCTCCAAAAAAACGGCTATTCAAGGAGTTTTGTCCAACGCGTCGCCCGTCGACAGTGCTGCACGCGCAATAACCATGGATCGTCGGGTGACACACAGCCCCGCCCCATCGCGCGCATCAGCGTCCCCTATGTAAAAGGGACGAGCGAGACACTGGCGCGCGTGCTCCGAAAAGAAGGTATCCAAGTGGCGCACAAGCCAGTGTCAACATTAGGACGGCTCATGCCAAGGCCAAAAGATCGCCTCCCAAAAGAGAAAGCACAGGGCGTGGTCTACAAGATACCGTGTGCGAAGTGCCCCGCCGCCTACATCGGTGAAACTAAATCTTTTCCCGAACGCATGCGCCAGCACCAGAACGATGTGCGCAATTTCGATCGCGAGCGTAGCGCCGTCGCGGAACATTGTGAGGTGTTTGACCATCGGATCGACTTCGGAAAAGCACACGTGATAGACACGGAGCCACATATTCGAAGACGCCTGTTCTTGGAGTCGTGGCACATCCAGAATACACCGGGGAACATTAACAGGTCCCTCGGGGCCTTACCATCTGTTTACGTCCATGGCCTGCGTCACGTTCAGAAAACATCACCTCGGTAGAAGAAGAAGGAGAGGTCGAAGCTCGCGCTGTCCAATTCCATTTTTAGTCACCCCTGAAGAAGGAGTCAAGTCGACCCCGAAACGTTGGGAACTGCTGTTTCTAAACTTTTGGTTTGAGTTTTCTTTTTTTCGAATATCATAATTGCAAAATATTTGCATTTTTACCTTCCTTTACACATGAATTTAGCCTTAGTATTTTATGATAGTTATACCAGTTTAATTTTTAGTTTAAAATACAGTATTTTACTTTCAAATCGAATGCCTATCGGGTGTTCTCTGCCTCATCGATGAACATAATCTTGGAAAACCGAAGAGTACAGTACGTTTTTTTGGCGACGAAAAAGGCTTACGATCGAACTGATGCCAGTAGCGAGGGAACCGTTACGGGTGTTGCAGCAGAAGCAGCACGAAGACATCAGGACGGGCTTCCGAGGCGAAGAGTCGCCAACTCCTCGCCGGAAGGAGTCGCTCGAGACGCTGTACGAGCCTTCATCCGCACACCGGCCGCTCCACCTGCACACATGTTGTGAAGCCAGGGCTGCGTTCCAAAATTTACTCGCTCTTACTCCAGAGTAAGGGTTATGCACCTTCGCGTTCGAAAACCTAACCGCGTCCAGCGTCGCTCTCTTTGTGTGACCTCGTCACACGACCCGTCGGAGTAACTCGGATCTATTTGGCTAAGATTTGGAACACAGACTCGTCGCATCTTTGAAATGGCTGACCAAATGCACGCTGTCAGAATATCCCCACAACCTCAATTATTCAGCATAATGACGCCACCTGAAGCAGCGGCGCCGGGTAGTGCGCCCAGATGTAAGAGTGCATCCAACTGCTCGACGTGGTCACGTGGTTTATGGGCCGCGTTGGCGACGCAAAGTGAGAGAAAGTGACGGAAGCGTGGAACGACACTTCGCTCAAAATTTTCCACCCGCAGTCCTCCTTGCCGTGCATGAACGAACGCACGCGCATGAGCAGCAAATTTAGGAGGCAGGTGTCCGCCATTAAATTACAAGCGATATCCATGGTTTGAGGTGCTTCCTCACTTAAATCTGGGCTCAAGCGAGGAGGAGGAGGAGGAAACTTTATTATTCTTCCGGGATTAGGTATCGGATGTGGTGGAGGCCCAGAGGGCCGCCGCGATCGCCAGGGCCCGGGAGGTGGTCAGGACTTGGGAGAACCGGAAGGCTGTTGCAGTAAGACAACGAGGTAGAGAGGCCTAGAGCGATAAACCGGCAGCTGAAAGTGTCCCCCAATAGGCCGCCGCCATGATGCATATTTTTGACAACTAGACACGTGACCTTATAGTTTCATGTCCATATTTTAACAAAGTACCGGGCACAAATAATTGCCTATTGATCTTTAATAACGGTACCAACGAGATAAGTTATGTTTCGTTTGTTTTAAAGGAGCTGTGCAACGATATTCAATTGGAATGTTTTTCTCTCTACACTAGCCTACTGGCACACCTCGGACTCAAGGATACTCACACGCAACACCATTGGCCAAGAAACTCCTTTGTTGTGGTGTAATTTCAAGGACAAAAGCGATCATTTTCATTCAATCTCTCCTTTGCAAAATTTGATGACGTAACTCGGGGATCGCAGTACACCCAAGTGACGATATTTGAATGCGGTTCACAGATTGGACCCGAGAATTGCTTGGGCACTCGACTTCGGCTCGTGACAATTGCTAGCTCGAGAAGCATTCGGGTTGTGACCCGTGTCCAATCGCTGCAACGACGACAACAGCCGAGCCATAACAATGTCTGGAACTCAGCGCGTGTCCTGCGCTTTGCCAACCCTTGCGCGTGGCTATGATCAACACTGGCGGCATATAATCGGCTCCAGATCACGTGGCCGCTTGTTCTGGCTGCGAGTTGAGGGGGTGAACGCCGCTCGTTTTTCTTAAATTTTTTTCTGGGACTTCTATTGCGTGGGGTAAAAAACGAACGCGTGTTTCATAGGTCATTAACGTTAGGGATCCGATTTAAGCGGTATTTGTGCACAGTACAAAAATTGTTGCATCGCTCCTTTAAGTCCGAAATGTGCTTTTACGATAAAAACTCGGGCAGCTTCGCAATGCCTCCGCAAGATGCCGTCAGCTGTGGTGCTGTATTTTGGGTTTTAATTGGATCTAGACACTCATCTCCGGGTCTTACAATATTAAAAAAATAGTACATCATGTTTTTTTACAGCGATCGCGATACAAATCTCGGCTCAGTTTTGCGTAAAAACCTCAGGATTTGGTACAGTCACGTTTCTAGTGGTCATAATTTTACAAATGGCGGCAGCCAGATGGGGGTCACTTTTGCTTGATGAACGGGATCCCAGTTTATCGCTCTAAGCCTCTCTACCTTGTAGCAAAGGAAGACGTCGTATAGACGAGCGTCTCAGAATCTAACTTATTGGCAAAATGCAGCAGTCAAGGTCTGAAACTACGGGATGACGCAATTGAAGTACCTAAGTCCCGTTTTAAAGCGGTCCTTTTAACGATGTTAGGTTAATATAATTCTCCCTTTACAAGAAAATGCTCATCCAGGTGTATACTGGTATTGCACAACTGACCAACTGACACAGAAGCCTCCTGGACGCTATGTAATATCAATATTTAAAGCTGTTTATTTATTTCGGTTCCTCCTTTGTATATTTTCATAACGCGTTCGCGGGAAACGCAATGTTGCCATGTAGATTACCCCTTGCTAACGATGCCCGTAAGCGATTCATGAAGTGGACACTAGCATTGCGTGACCACTCGTTTCGGGCTCATCACGATCAATGCTTCGCCGAACATGCGTGCAGTGGCACTCGTTGTCGTGACGGGAATCTACGAACCCTAACAATAGGGAGTTTTAGAATAGGGGGACCCTATGCTTTGGGTCACCCAAGCAGCATGAGGCGTCGCACAGCGCATGCGCAGAAGGCAGTGCGACACTCCAAACTCCTTAGGGGACCCAAAACGCGCAAATATAACTTTTTTGCTAGTTTTGGGCATGCGTGCACTGACTTAAAAACAAATCTCCTGGAAGCTTTAAGGTGGCAGCCGACGTCTCGTAACAGAAGCGGCTTCTTCGGGGTCTTCCGAAGGCGCGAAATCTTTTTGTCAAATGTCGGCTTCCACTGCTTCAAAGTTTTCCTGTGCTTTTTCTTGGGCGTTTTAAAATTTTTATAGAAACATTCTAGAAACCTCAGAGTGGAAGCCAACACGAGGACCGAAAAGACGAGTACATTGTTGTACGAAGCGACACGCATCAACCAGCACTGTGATTCGCAATTGATCCTTTTATTTGCGCGTGTCCCCGTTGTGACTTTCTCTTCCTCTGTTGGGGACATCGTTGGCTAGCTGCCACATCTCTTTTCTCGGGAAAGGCAAGTCTAGAAGTGTGTTTGAGTCTAAATGTCGTGGTCATCTTCATATCGTTGTGGTGGCCTTCTAACCTTTGTCCCCCTTCGAAGCAGCGGGTGCGTTTAAGACTCAACTTGGCCATTGCTCGCTGCTCTGTAGTCACAGAGGTCGTCTCTTGGGTGGAGTGTGTCATTGGTCTTAAATGTTCGCGTGTTCTTCGAAGCACTTGGCCTTCTGGGGTCCGGATTTTGTGAGACCTTACGGTAGAATAGCCCACTACTAGAGCAGGTGAACAGCAGGGTTGTAGATGGTGGTTTCAGAACCTGTTTCAATATCCGGTAGTGCTCGTGAGGACTTATCGGAGCTAGCCTTCTATTGTTGCCTTAATTTTGTGAGGCATTGTGTGACGGTTTCGGGGGGCACGATAACAGTTAGGTAACGTCCAGACCTGGTGGGCCACAGTGTTCTTGTATGTCGGCTCATCAGTCCTTGTACTGGTGATTGGAGAACCTCGTAACATGGAGTGTTTCGCCATTCAAGAAGTGCATAATAAAACCTTTTCTTGTTCTCACTTTTTCTTAGTAATCGTTTGGCCTGCCTCAAGGCTCGTTCGGTCATGCCAATTATTTGGGCATGGTAAGGGCTCGAAGTTATTTGCTCGATCTTCAAGTTTTTCGGGAACTGTTTGAACTCATGGCTCCCAAACGAAGACTTTCATACAAAACTTTTTAACTGGGGAAGCTGTGGTGGTTTTCATTTCTTCAACCTCGAAGCAAAATGAGTAAAGTCCACCATTTCTATGAAGTCCCGCCCTTCATGAGTAAAAAAAAACCCGATACCAACATGCTGCCGAGGCAGTGTTGGTGGCACCGCATGACTCAAGAGTGGCAAGTTGACATTTCTTCGTATCTACATTTGACATGTGTTGCACTTGTCGTCCTCGTCCTCGATGTCAACGTTGATTCTGGGCCAAAACAGAATATCTTGAGCTCTTTTTTTCATCTCCTTGCCTGTGTGTGCTGTGTGCAGCAGGTTGAGGAATTTTTTTATGGTAGCTGTATAGATATGATGGCCTTTCAAGTAGCGGCACTTGGTCTTTTTGTTCCGGCATGCAGTCAGCGCATACAGACGCAGCAGTTGCAGTTGTGCGTCACCTGCGGTTGCCTCTCGAATTTCTTGAATGCGGCCTTGAGTAACTGATAAGCGGTCTAGTGCGTTTACTTAGAACTTGTCTTCTTCGATTGTTTACTTTGCGGGAAAACATGAAAGTGCATCTGATAGTAGCAGTTCTTTTCCAAGTATATGCTTCTCTTGTAATGAGTACTTCTGGAGAGCCATCTTCATTCGTTGCAGTCCCATCGGACATTGATGCAGTGCATGGTTTCGTGAAAATAGCTTGCAACGGTTCGTGATCTGATTTTACGGTTACACACGCTTGTCCAAGTATGTAATGGTGAAACTTGGTGCATCAGTGAACAATCGCTAGCATCTCATTCTCGATTTGCACATACTTCGTTTCTGCTGCCGTCAGGGATCTCGACAAATGCGCTAGTGGCTTTCTACCCTGGGTGATAGCGTATGCCACGCCGTATTGAAGTGCGTCGACTGAGAGCGTTATGGGCTTTCCTGGGGTGTAGTGTGCGAACACTGGTGCTTTTGTCAATACAGCCCGCAGTACTTCGAAGCCTCTTTGCTGTTCTTCCGCCCACACTCACGCGCACTCCTTCTTCAGTAGTTCTCTTCGTGTTGCTGCTCGCTCAAAAAGTCGGGGTATGAAGTTAGAGAGATGTGTGATCATTCCAAGGAATATTCGCAGTTCCTTGTAATCTCTAGGTTCTTTCACTTCCAGGATTTCTCAAAAAAATCCTGTCTGGATCTACAGTGATGCCGCCTACAAAGGGTGTAACCGTTAAAGGGGCTGTAAAATGATTTTTCTACTGTTACTTACTACTACTCAGAATCACTTCGATCCTAGCGTTAGTAACTGAATAAACTTACCTTAGTTCTTCTTTCTAGGCAATGGCAGTCGCCAAACAAAATATAGAAATATGAGCATCGTTCATCTTCTCAACTCGGAGCCAGAGCAAGCGGTCGCGTGGCCTAGTGTCTATCCTTTGCCGCCAATGTTAATCATATCCACGCGCTAGGGTGGACATAGTAGAAAACGAGTC